TCCCATTTATGTTGCCTTTTATAAGCGATGAAGTAAGCGTAGCTATAAAACGATGCTTAAGAAGGGCAGGTCTAGAGGAATCGGTAGCGATAGTTGAAATACCACCGGCTACTCTACGTCGCCAATTAGTTCGCAACCGCCTGTATGACCGTCTGGGTGAAGCAACAAATTGCGTAATTTGCCCTTACGGCAGGGACGGTGATTGCATGAGTTCAGGTACGATATACCTGATCTCTTGTAACAATTGCAGAGATGAATATATTGGCGAAACGGGCAGATCTTTGTGTATCCGTATAAAAGAACACCTAGATGGCAAACGAAAACTAAGACGAAGCACCCCACTAGGCACGCATAGGATACAAAAGCATAGCGGAGATGATTTTGAAGTAAAAGTCAATATCCTTGCACAGGAGACTAAAACACCAGCGCGAAAACTTCTTGAGGTTTTTTGGATAAATACCAAAAACCCTACAATGAATAGCAGTGATGAATGCCCGGAGGTCATACGCGACCTGATCCCGTACGTTCGCATCGATTTTTGATGTGCGATGGTGCAGTCGTCAACCACATGCGACTATAATCAGCTGTTCTAAACTTCCTCATTGGAAGTCACGAAAAAGCGGTGGGTTTTTCGAGAAGTTGTTGATCACGTAATTACCAAGGAGTTTTTCGTTTTTTTGTAAGTGTTATTGAAGCGTTTGGCCTAGTAGATTGTATATCAGTATACCCTTCCAGGCTCTGAAGAAGGCGATACTGCCGAAACGCCAGCTAGCGTTGTATCGTATTGTGTTTTTATGGAAGTAAATGTATGCTGTTTAAAAACCTCGCGACTGCTGAACAAGAAAACAACACATTCGTATTCCAATGCCGAGGTTAATAGAAAGTCGATCCTGGGAACTACTGCAAGGAGATTCCATCCAGCATTTTATGACATTCACAAAGAATATAAAATCCTCAAGAAGCAGATGAAACAACTTTCGAAATGTTTGAAGGCCTTTGTGGAAGATGAATGAGAGGAAAACTAATCGAGTGCAACATGTGCTAGGATCCGCATAGTAGCCGCAATGAAGGGTCACGAAAAATAGAAAATAAATAAGTATATATATATATATATAACGCGCATATAATAAATGTATGTATAGGAATCTACAAGGGAGGGATATACAAGGTGATGTACATGTACACATATATGTATACAGATATACATACATATATGTATAGATACACATGTACAAGTATATTTACATGATCCGTCTTCACATCTACTTTGCGAGTTCCAGCACCTATTGCATTCGATTTGCTTCCTCGCATCTCTTCATCACACATGAAGGTTTCTGAACTTCTCTATGTGGGCTCGTTCATGCTCGAGGATTTTCTTTTTGTCTTTGGATGTCGTTGAATGATGGTAGAGTCGATTCTTGCAGGAATTCAGGGATAACCGTGCTTAAGCGTTCGCACGCGACTGGAGGAAGGAGGCAGCAACAAACAAGGTTGGGAGCAATCTCCCGACCCCAGAGAGATGGGAGTATTGGTGAACGGGGCGCTGCGTCGAACTAGCACAGTGCTCGTGACAAGCACAACTGCCACTGTGCTACGAGCTCCTATGTTTACAATCAAAGACCACCTTACCTCAATCATTTGGTTATCTGCACTTTCATCACTGACTGGACCAGCAAGGTTATATGAGACATAATCTGGAACAAAATTACTTCTGAATGTTTAACGGTTATTGTTGCGTAGAATTCTCAATATCTTTAATAGAAAACAGGTACTGAAGACAAATATGACTGCAACAGTAGCAGAACATAGATTCAAAGAACCCCACTTGAGGACAGTGAACACATCAGAGACGTAGATAATGGTTTGTCGGATTCAAAACATCGGTCAAACAATGCTTGCAATAAAAAACTGCAACAATCCTACGTGCAAAACGATCTCAGTAATGTAAGCTTATTAACTTAGATTCAGTAAACTGATCTATACAACACATCTTCACGTTTTCTAAAGGAAACTCACAGAATAAGTAATGTACATGATGGCGACCCTCATCATGTCAACATAAGCTACATTTTTAACGAAGGTAGGATTCAAGACTGTAATATTTCTAACTAGTACCCGCACTGCGCTTCCGATGAGACGCCTTAAAACTCAGGGAATTGGAAGTCATCATTCCTACATCGACAACGACTGCCAAATTAGCTGGAAAGACATCCTAGAATAAATACGAACGAAATATGTGAGGCAGATTATGACCACAAAGTCAATGAGCGCCAACATAAGTTCAACTGCTGCAAAGTGATGACCTGATAAATTACACTCCAGCTGAAGCTACTAACAGACCCACTAACGTAGGCTTCTTAGTCCCATCTGTCGTTGTTATTGCGTCTCAGATAAAGACATTTCTGAAAATCAACCTCGAAAAATATGCAACGCTTCTTGACTACCACAAGGAAGTTCATCAATAATTGATTCTGCCACCCACGATGTACTGTGGTGATACCGGCAAGATATGATCCATCGAGAACTGCCGCTTGGTTATGTGACGAGCATATACACGCGAACACCCATGAAAGTCAATTTCGCCGGATGATTGCTTATGTGGGACAGAAGCAGTAGGCATAATCTTTAGTTTGCCACTTCCACAGCATCTCAGAGATCGAATTCTAAGACTTGAAAACAGTCTTCATTTTTCCTCCTAAGATTTTCAATTATCCGGGTGTCCGGGAACTTCCATAGTAGCAAACATTTCGCCAATGTCGACTACCTTAAACCGGGATGCACCCACTGCTTGTCATATGCAGCCGCCGAAGTTCTGGAGAAAAGCACCCTGGTAAAAATTTGAGCTAACAGTGCGCTCAAATTTTGCCAGGGTGCCATACTGACCAACACTGTGGTTACACCGTTATACAATCTTATGCGCTGGAATGAGGCAAAGTGCGGAAAAACTTATGGCACCTACCATTCGCAGACCATAGTGCTGCTTTCTTTTCTTGAACGGCTAACTTGCGTTTCTCTGCAGCCACCATTTGAGCACGCTGGATCTCCTACAACGTGAAACGTCTTACATTATAACGAAATCAAAGCGAGACTGTTGATAAGTGAACTAAACGAATAATTTTCGGTAAAAGTGTTCGAATAGAATGAGGACAATTTCATTCCACATGAATATCGTCACTGTAAAACTTCTACGATCCAACCACGACATTCTGCGGAGATCCATATAATAAGGCAGCGGGTTGCTTGGACTGCGCTCCAGCATTCCAAAATAATCTTAAGGTTTTTAAATTTACAGAAAGAAACGTAACTTTAGTCTGGCAACAGCTTCTTTATCTTCCATTTTATTCATTTCGTCATTTCTGCCTAAACAATGCTACTTCGTTGTAAACTACCCTTTAAATGGAAACCATCGTTAACTTACGTTGTGGACAAGAACGCTTTGCGTAACGAACAGTTTTGCCTAATTGCAGAAGACGCAATTCTTCAAAAGCTGCCTCATCCTTGGCTGAAACCCGATAGCTATGTCCTTGGAACACACGATAATCACTGTAATCCGTATCCATCTTGTCCACTTCATCCGGATCCAGTCGCAGTTCTGCTGGTATCTAAAGCCTACAATTGATTAAAATGATGATCTCTGCTTCAGGTATTACAGAAATCACTCCAGACAAACTAGTGAAACCTCTAGGAGAAAACATTTCAATAATTCAATAGAAACAAGAAATTTAACACTTATTGGTAGGATCTTAAAAACAGATTTATTTAGTAAATTTTGACAACCTGGTTCTCTTTGTTATTTATTATAGGCAACCATTCTCCACATTCGTTAGTCCTTCCAATAACAGTTTCAAGCTCCTCGTCTGTCTACAACTATTAAATAAGCAGCAGACTATCTTCGCACTTTTACTATCAACTAAATTTCAAAGCGGAATTTTCTTCATAACTTCCTAACCATAAGATAAGAAATTACGTTTTTTAAAGCTCCTGTTTCGTTATTTCACAAGTCTTACCAACGGTTTAGCACTCGTGGCTGGGAGGTGTTCCTGAGTGTCGGGCTGCGATATACAGCAAGGGATTCATCCCTCTAGCAGGGCTCACCAAGCTGAGGAGACTGGCGTTCCCATCAGGAAGTTCAGCTAAGAGTAAACCAATATCAGGATCCACCACCGTCCTGGTATCAAGATGGTCGCATGGTGGCAAACCTCCTGATCCACAAGGCCGGCGACAACCTGTGGTGATTAAGACCTAAAGCAGACTTTGGCCATCCTCACCTCGAGACTCCAGGGAACGACGATGGTTAAACCAGCAAAACTCCGAAACAATGGAGATTGTGCTGGGACCTGCACAATCAGTAAGGACGGGCCATCCAAGTATCCAAGTAAGCAAGTTATTTCACAAGTAAGGGCGACGTGATGTTTCCTTTTAACAAACAAATGAAGCAACAGTACACACCGTAACTAACCATTCTAGAAGAGCAAAAGAGTTATTAAATATGCACAATTATAGAAATGTAGAGCCCTGAAAAAGATCTAGTTCATTAACCCACTAACCAGTTGGTATTTTGTGTCCTTCTGTTCCTTCAACGTTGACAAACTTTGTTTGATCATAGCCAACATGTCAAATGCCGCCAGCTTCTTTTCTGAAATGCACACTAACTAGATTTCCAATCTGACCCTTTAAGAAATAGTCGTGGCCTAACCCTAACACCTTATCGCGATATCAACAAACTAGTTCAGATGGATTTGCCAGTGCTATGAAAATTCCTGGCTTAATACTCATAGTATTTAAATACGTTAAACACAATTCACCTCCATTCCCCATTACCATGTCAGTAAATTTGAGTTTGTCTCGAATACGAGCATGCATGTGCTGTTCAATAGTGTAACGACCAATAAGGCGAATCACTCGGACAGATCTAAAGTTAGAATTAAAAGAAAAAGTGAGTCTAAGAAAGAGTACGAAGACCGAGTTCCAGAAAATTAAATACATTAAGACGTGAAACATTAGATTTCGAACCTATTCTGTCCAATACGGTGACAACGAGCCATCGCCTGAATGTCATTCTGTGGATTCCAGTCGGCATCCATGAAAACGACTGTATCAGCACCAGTGAGATTCAGGCCAACACCACCACTTCCCGTAGTCAGAAGGAAACACCATGGGCCTGAAGAGTTTATAACCATTACTCTTCTCTTTTGAGCACATTCTGCGAAATACGTAGAATTTAGATCATTTCGATGTGTACCCAGCCTTTCTAATCATTACCGGTGCGAAACAGACACTAGAAAGGGCTCGCATCTAGTAATGTTAGATTCCCACTTAGCGAATTCCTCACATTTTCCAAGTTTAATTTAGGAAACAGATGACTAACGAGGGCATGAACTGATTTCAATTCATCAGCAGTCGTAATTACATCCTTAAACTGTAAAAAAAATATATCGCAGTCCACAGAGAATTTTATTGATTCGAAAAAAATCTCCAACATTTGAAAAAAAAGAACTATCACAATGTATATGCCCTTACCAACAAGACAAAAGTTTTCATACTCTACCAAGAAGAAATCTGATTTTCAAAACGTTGTTTTCCGAATTTTTTCCTTCCAATGGGACTCATACTCCAATTCAAGGAACAGGATTTTTCCACAGAACACGACAGTGTTACTCTATGTACTCTTAATATTTCCGGATAGAGTGAATAATTTTTGAAAGTTCGACTTCTTTATGACCTCAAACAAAATTAAAAATAAAATCTTGAAGGAACTACACACACTTCAAGACCGATACAACAAAAGCTCTTCTCGCAGAATGTCAAACTCTTTGTCTCAAATTGACAATTCACGTAACGAGCAATATGTGACGATGAAATTAAACAGAAGTTCGCCAAAACGCTGGCACAGCCAGTAGCCAGATTCAAAACTACTGTTGAAATCCTGCCGTATTACTGTACCTAGCCAGTAACACCGTACCTTATCACCTGACTACGACTTCTTATAGCTAAATAGAGGCTAAGCTTTTGAAAGACGAGCTAAGAAAACAGCATAATTTTGAAATGCAAGTCCTTCACTTTTGCCTATTTGTTCTTTAGTCGCATATGTCTGGAAATTATTTATGGCTACGTAGCGCTCCTCTGCACGAATGCTTCCATCGATACGCTCATAGTTATAACCTGTAAAATGATAACCTGCAAAAAAGTATCACGACCATAATGTTACACACGTTAACAATTAGAAGACTTCGGAGTACCTCTGTAATTCATGAAGTCCTCCAAAATATCTAAGAGTATTCTGAATTGTGTGAAAATCAAGCAGCGGTGGTTGTTCGCTTTGAGATAAAGAAGTAAGCGATCCAGTACCTGTAAAGAGATATCATAACACTCTTTTTTTTCATTGGCGAGAACTTTCAAATAAAATTTGAAGTGTACTACTCAGTCCTTGTGTAGAATACTGAACGATGGTTCGCTTTGTTTCAATATAGGCAGCCGTTCTTCACATACAAGCAAACCACTGCCGAAATTTCTCTCGATAAATGGATCATTTAAAGAAATGTCTCGCTTTATAGCACCAGGGGTATCAAAACCTTTTTTAAGATGGCTTGATTTTAAATTTATTTGAAATCAAAGTAAGTAAAGTAAGGACAAAATTTCACTTCTTTTTTCAAAAATTTAAAGCAAGTGTGGCTGTTGCAAACACCAACGATACGCTTGACGATATCACATCGTTGGATAAAATCATGCATGTTATCCTCAAAAAGCTAAAGAAGAAGTACGATTTCTGAGCTCCGTACTGTCAGAATTTCATTTTGGTAGGGTAACAAAGACTTATTAAAAAGGGCCGAACAATAGCAATGTCTGCTCGAAGATCACGACGCCATGGCGAGACGGAAAATCGTCCCATCTATGCAACACTAACTGACGATGTCACGTCATAAGCATGAAGAGGTCTACACTCTTTATTTTGGGTTTTCGTGAAGAAGTCTTACCGCATAGTCCTTATCATTTCCTTGTGTGCTTAACATTGCATGGAACTCAACCGTCAATGGTCTCCGTCCATCGGCTATTGTTAAAACCAATTATATATTCGGCTCCAACTGATTCTATCCATATCGAAACATGAGGACGAGCAATTGATCTTGAGAGACAAGGATGATGACTACGCTCTCATTCTGCTTAGTGATCAGGTTCTCAAGTTTAAGGAGTTCACTAAGGTTTTCTAAAAGTTCTCTACTACTACCTCAATAGTAGCAGAAAAATCCACATCGTTCCTCATTCTCTGCTTAGTGGTCATGTTGCATAAATCAGCCTTAGGAATTTGAACTTTAAATAGATTTAAAGTCGAGTACAAATCTCTGAGGAATCCATATAGCTAAAGCGATAGCGCAAAACCTCTTCTATGCAATTATCAAGCCCTTAACTCAACAACTGCAATAGTTATTGAAAAATCATCGTCAGTTATCAAAAAACAAGAATCAAGTCTTACCACTAGACCTCATTCCAACCTTTTCCATTTCAGACGATTCACTCGGAATGTTGATTATTCAAGAAATGGAGATTCAAATGCAGCTGATGAAAGCACTCGTTTCGCGAGCTCACCTTTCGAATTTTTCGAGAAAGAGCTTCAACTAACTACACTAAAGTAACTCGTATAATGCTGAGATATTTGCAAAACTTCGGACCGCAGGTGTCTGAGGTGCGGAATGAACGTGCTATTGTGTTTTTCTAAAATAGATAGAGCTAGTTGAGAGACAAGTGAAACGAAGGACCCACATGGTGTGGTGGTGAACGCATTACTCCCCGGAAAAGAATAGTTATATTATACGAGTTATATTTCGCAACAAACCATGCCATTAAAAAGAATAGGCAGTAAATAAAAAGGTTAAGATTGTGATTACACTAAAGTAGTTGTTGTGATTGTCCGTTATCTTCTCTTTTCGGTCAAACGTAAATGGTCGTTTTAGTACACATTTCATCAAACTGTGTCAGCGTCGTTTTTACTCATATCCGGACATTTTCACATTCACTCTGCAGTTTTCAATCCCAACGCTGTCGTATCGGAAATTCTTTTAAAAACCATTAAAACTAGTTTTTTCTGGTGGAGACAAAAAGAAGAGAAAAATTAAACAATCTTCCACGTACTTTCTGGTCACAAAAGGCAGACAATTGGCAAGCATATATACAGATGAAGTTACAAAGCGTTCGGTATTAATCAGTTCCTTACCGATGCGCCAAGTATTTAACTTTACCATGCAACGTAGAGGCAATTGAATGCATATCTTGCCTATACAATAACTTGCGGTGGCCTCATTGTAGTGCACCTCAAACTAATGGTGAAGGGCACCTCTAACTCAACACTCGCCCTCAAGTCAAAAGGCATTTAGGATAACATTTGAACACACGCGAATATGATTATGCCCACCTACGCATTTAAGGTCTAACTGTCCAACCTAGGCATGCGAAGTCTTGAATGACCAACCGTATTCACATAACACTGTTGTCAGATCTACTTCATACTGTGGACCACCTTAACATTTCCAACCACATTTTCCTAGTCTAAAACAACAACGAAGCACTTCTGCTATGATAATTCATAGTTAGATAGAGCTTCAAAGATGTTACATAGATTAACACACCTGAAACTTGCCACTAGCTTCAATAATGTGTTCTCCTTCTATAAAGGGTTCGGGTTCTATGCCTAAATATAATACTATAAGGACATACCAACAAAAAAGCATCAAATATTTTTATGTTTAAGTTACTCATCCAGTAACATTTCAGCTAATGGTTAGAGAACAAAGAATATCGTCGATAGAAGAGCTATCTTCGCTGGAAAAAAAGGAGCAAACACACCTGCAAACAAGTACGGGTGTGCGACACATTTTCGCAGCTGCATATGTAGGTTAATTAATGAATGGTTTTTACCACCGGTCGCCGAAATTAGTTCATCTCAAAAGAGGGAAAAATATGACCAAATAATGAATAGAGACATTTCAACTATGGAAAAGAACAGTTTAAAATGACATAATCATTATAATAGTACAGTTATGTCGCCCACTCAATGGTTTACCAACTCATGGTAGCTAGCTGAAAGTTGTTCCTGATTGTCGGGTTGCAATGTACAGAGGAGAGAGGTGGGGTTCATCTCCCCAACTGGGAGGTCCTAAGCTGAGGAGTCCAACGTTTCCACCCGGAAACCCAACTAAGAGTAATCAATGCCAGGATCCACCATAGTTGGTGTCAAACTAGTCGCAAGGTGGTGGCGAATCTCCCTCTGATCACGAGGGTGCCGGCTGCCTGTGGTGATGACGACCTGGGGAATACTTTAGCCAGGCTGACCTCGGAACTGCAGGAAATCATAGTGACTCAACCAGTAAACGTAAATGATGGTGGCGTCCGCACAACAAGTGAAGACGGGTCATCCAAGTATCCAAGTATAGTCATTTTGCAAATTTCCAAATTTTCTACACCTACTGGAACCTACCATAGTCTTTTGATATGATGTCCAAATACAGCTTCTTCTGCAGTTCAGTGAGATTGTGATAAATAATCACCTAGAGCATGATTTTTAGAAAAAGAAAAAACAAAAAAACGAAGCAAAAACAAAGATCTGACACTGAGAATACGACGATAGTTCATACCTGGTCACATAACGGCAAATTTTTGCAAACCACATCTTTTGTGCGACGAATCATATATTTTGAGAGAATTTCCTTTAGATGACCGATATTCTCAGTTTTCTCGTACTTTGAAACAAAGCTATCTCTACTTAGAGTCGTATCGCAAAATTTGCTCTGAAGTAAAAACTAGCCACTGGCATCCATAACAAAGGAAAAACCAACAGACTCAAAAGTGACGAATTTCCCCACAAAAAGTACAAATACATGAGGAAATTAAAAAGTAGGTACTTACGGAATCAACGAACGTAAGCAACGTATACAATTCATGTAAGTTATTTTGAATCGGTGTTCCTGTCATCAGCAAAAACCATGCATGTGGTCTATACTGAAAAGGGAAACGAACTTCTATGTGATCCGTTTTTCACTAGAAGATCCTGATCATAAACCCTGGCGAACAAAACATCTGTAAAAGGATAAAGCTCTCGTCGTTAATCAATCCTTTAGGGATCCGCAATGTACTCCACTTCATTAAGCATCGTTGGAGGTGCCTGAATGCATATCTGGTCTCTACAGCG